CAAAACAAAGAATGTAAGAAGAGAAAAAGAAGGGCATTACAGAACTTTAAAGGGGTCAATCCAGGAAGATATACCAACTGTAAATACAAACCCAACATTTGAGATGTAACAATTGTAAAAAGGCACCCAACCTAGGTATACAAAGCAAATATTAATGGATATAAAGGCAGAAATCAACAGTAATACTATAATAATTGGGGGGACTTTAATACTCCACTTACCTCAATGGATACATCATCCAGATAGAAAATTAATAAGGAAATAATGACCTTAAATGCCACATTAAACTAGTTTGACTTTTTTGGGCATTTTGAGCATTCCATCCAAAAAACTATAGGTTACACATGGAACATTTTACAGGATACACTACATGTTGGGCCACGAAATAAACCTCAATAAATTCAAGAAGTTTGAGATTATATCCAGCGTACTTTCTGTCCACAATGAAACTAGAAATTAACTCCAAGAAGAAAACTGGGGGGGGGGGGGGAAATACATGGAGAATAATCAACATGTTTCTAAACAACCAAGGGATAAAAGAGGAAATCAAAGGGAAATTAAAAACTACCTTGAAACAAATGAAAATGAAAATAGAACCTTTCAAAATTTATGAGTTGCAGCAAAAGCAATTATAAAAGGAAAGTTTATAGCTTATACAGGGCTATCTCAAGAACCAGAACAAAATCCCAAATAACCAATCTAAATTTACACCTAAAGAAACTATAAAAAGAGGAACAAATAATACCTGAAGTAGAAGGAAAAAAACAAAACCAAAAAAGTCCAATAATGATGAGAGCAGAAATAAATGAAATAGAAAAACAATAGAAAAGATTAATGAAACTAAGAGCTGGTTTTCTGAAAGGATAAATAATATAGACACCCTTCATACAAATTGACAGCAAAAAACCAAACAATTCCATTAAAAAATGAGCAGAGAACCTGAGTAGATACTTCTCCAAAGATGGCATACCAATAGACATCTAAAAAGATGCTCAACATCATTACTCATCAGGGTAATGCAAATTAAAACCACAGTGAGAAATCACCTCACACCTGTCATAATGGTTATCATCAATAAATCAACTAACAAGTGAGGATATGGAGAAAAGGGAACCCTCGTGCACTGTTGATGGATCATAAATTGGTGCAGCCACTATGGAGGTTCCTCAAGAAATTAAAAATGGAACTACCATATGACCCAGCAATTCCACTTCTAGGTATTTATCCGAAGAAATAAAAAACACTAATTCAAAGATATATGCACCACTATGTTCATGCAGCATTATTTACAATAGCTTAGATATGGAAGCAACCTAAGTGTTCATCGATAGATAAATGGATAAAGAAGCTATGGTGCGCGCATACATACACGTACTCAGACATAAAAAAGAACGAAATTTTGCCAATTGTGACAACATGAATGGACCTAGAGGATGTTATGCGAAGTGAAATAAATCAGACAGAGAAAGACAAACACCATATGATCTTACTTATATGTGGAATCTCAAGAACAAAATAAATGAACAAACCAAACTGAAACAAACTCATAGATTCAGAGAACAAATTGATGGTTGTCAGATGAGAGAGGGGTTGTGAAGATGGGTGAAGGGATTAAGAAGTACAAATTACCAGTTATGAAAAACAGACAAGGGGATGTAAAGTACAACATAGGGAATATAGTCAATAACATTGTAATAACTGTATGGTGTCAGATGGGTACTAGACTTATTGCGGTGATCACTTAGTAAGTTATATAAAGGTCTTATCACTATGTTGTACACCTGAAACCAGTCAAATATTGTATGTCAATTATAATTGAAAAGTTTTTTAAATGGTGAAGGGGAATATAATATAGTCAATAATACTGTGATAATGTTGCATGGTGACAGATGATTACTAGAATTAGTGGTGTGATCACATTGTAAGGTATAAAAATGTCGAATCACTATATTGTCACCTGAAATTAATATAATATTGTATACTAACTATTCTTGAATAAAAGAAAAAATAGAAATAATGTATGTTACATGCCTATTATAACTTTGATTAGTTGCTCAAAAAAGTGATAGAACAAGATAAGTATACTGATAAACGGGGATGTTTTCATCAAAAGTGTGATACTGACAAGCTTTAGCTCTTGAGAATGTGGGCATTTTGAGAAAGAATGAAAGGAGATGAAGTCCTGTGTTCAGATTACTGATAATCAAAATTGTGGAGTTAAGAACAGAAATAGAATGTTTAGCAGGACGGGACAAAGAACCGACAGTAGTCGTGATGAGGATAATATAGGAATATATGTGCTGACGGTAAAATATTTTAGACTGATCCAGGCTGCTAAATTCCAAAATCTGTAACAGAGCAAACCTAGCTTGGCTTTATAAAATGTAATACTGAAGAAATAGTTATCATCTTTCACAATTTAGGAACACTGGCATGATCAGAAGGAACGAATCAAACCTCTCAGTGTGAACTCTCGAGTTCAAAACAATTAGATGGATTAGGAAGATTCTTACAGGCCATATGGCTTCTAGCTTGTGACCCAGATCGCCAAATTCAAATAATACCAAGGGAGTTCTATTAAGACACAAGATCCTTTTATAAAATCTGATGAATCTAAACAGGCAAATGCCAAAACTGCCCAATGGTCTTCACCGGAGAGACCTGTGGTTAAGCACAGAAGTGTGAGAAGGCTAGGAGGCTGCGGTCTGCTCCATGTAAGGGCGAGTCGTTTATGTCACTACCTGAATTATTCCCTCTTGGAATGAAAATGAAAAAAAAAGTCTGTACTGAGTCTACAAATATTCCTCAGCCTCAGTCTAAAGGAAATACATCTTATTTGAGTCCTATGTTAAGTTTCAGATTAAAACAAATATTTAACTGAATTATACAAACTGAGGAATCAAAGACTGGGTTTGACTTAATGTCAATACCTCAACACAGGAACTTTGATATAATGCTCTCCGAGGGGTCTATTGAGTCACACAGGGTATATTGGTAACATTTTAATTATAACTTTTAGCAATAAACATTACTGAATGGGGCCCAAGGCAGATCTGTCTAAGCAGTATAGTTTAGGAAAGAATCGACATTTGAGGATTTATAAAACAATAAAAAAAAAAAGAAGAAGACATGCATATTTCCAGAGAAATACATCATTTTGGTGTATATTCATTAAATCAGGACTATAAACATATACGTTACGTAAATCAGTAATGTAAATCAAAATGTTGATCAAAATACAGGAAAAAACTAACCTGAACTGAAATATCGTTCCACTGTTAGCCAGCAGCAGACTTAATGGACCAGTGCACTGATCTGATGGAAGGCTGGCTTAACTCAAAGCAAAAGGCTGCTTCTAACCAATGTTTCTGAAAGACGCTTGGCTGTGCCCTATTTAAAACTTACTTCTGTTGCCTCATGTTTTTCTAGCAGCAAAAATTTAAGAAAGAGGGGCTTTGCTATCAAAAGTCTTACCATGTAGACGTTTATTATTTGGTCTATGACTTTCTATAAAAAATGCTTTCTCAGGATGTTAGTCTATATTTACATTTTCAAATATTTAAGTGTTCTCAAGAATCAGCAAATATGGGTAAAGATTGTACTCATATTTATGGTGTCAGCAAGATAAGTTTATGAACTTAGGTAAAGAATTTTAATTGCCAAATGGGATAAAGCTGAATATACTACATAACATATTCAATTTAAAGTGCCAGTACATTTCCTTTGCAAGACAATAAATATTTCTAAATGGTGATTGGGAGAGAGAAGAATTTTATAAAGATAATAAAATATTAGATAAATAGTATTAAATAAAAGTAAATACAATTCAGAAGAGAGGAGGAATAGATTTTTACAGTGTTTCCTCATGTTCATCATTCGTCTGTGTGCTTAGTCATTTGACAAACACTTTTGAGTGCTTATCAAGTGCATTAGGATGCCCTGGGAATCTAATGGTGAACAGGCCTAGTCCTGGCCTGAGCTCAAGGGATTTATGGTCCAGGAGTGAGTGGGGTGTGTG